CTGATAAACCCTCAACTATCCCTCACTACATCCAAATAAGCTACTAAAACAAATCACTCACTATCCTAATCGCAGTCGTAAGGAGAGTGTCAAATCTTTTCCTCCACCCTACACTGGACGAACCATTTCCAGCAAACGCATTCAATCATACCACTGCAGGAAGACCCAACAACACAACCAACAACGCCAGCAAAAACATCGCTTATTAAACAACGACAGCAAGACTCGACACAAGAGAGCACCAGCACTCAGCTACAAGATGCAACACCAAGCTTCAAAGCTAGCAACAGCAAGACGACTCTAATCCCAATGACAAACAACCACAGACTGCTACGGAAACAGAAACAAAAGCCAAAAGGAAGAACGAAGACAGTCCAGCCACACTGCAAGAAAAAAACGAAAGAAAAAACATTATAGACAACTGCAACAACTCCACCAAACACTAAAGAAACCCAGCAACAATAAGAAACTACCATCAAACCTTTAACTCCTGGAAAAGACAAGAGCTGTCGATACGGCTTCCATTGTTTCAGTCAGCGAGTGTAAAACCCATACAAAAACATCCCATCCTGACATGAGTATGCCCGCACTGATCAAAAGCAGAGGGGCAATAAAGCACCACGTAGTAAAATACCCAGACACTGCCGTCTTCCAATGTGGATACTGCCTAACAAGTCTATATACCAAAAAACGACATAGAACAAAACCTCAAGGACCAGCAGCCTGACAACGACCTCTGACAAAATGAAATATTCTACATCCCCTGATTAAATTTAGTGAACGACAATAATAACCCCAGCTTGTCCGCAAACCGGAAGATAGAAATAAAGAAAGAGGACATTTGGGACTGGCTTCTAAACTGTTGATTAAAAATAATAATTAGTTAAGTCAGTAGGTTCAGTGTATAAAATAAATAAAAGGCAATATTTAAAATGTCCGTGTTTAACTTACCACATTGCACTTTATTATTATATAATTATTTTTCCCAACATCAAAACAAACTAATTAAAAGTATCTTTTCCCCCGATGTAAAGTTTCTTTTTAAAATGAAGTAAAACATTGTTTTCTAATCTAGCAAGGGAAGTAATCGGCAATAAATGAAACAAAGTTAAATAATTGTATACTTTTAATTTTTTTTTAAGGATTATACATTTTCTTTGATTTTAGGTATTCTACGTGACGTTCAATAAGATTTTTAGTTTGAGAAATGAAACTGTTTTACAAATTGTCCACATTATTTTTCAATTCATTTAGATAATAAATACTTTAGCTTTATCACACTATGGCGATCAAGTCTAGTTTTTTTTACTAAATCCCTCTATCGTCAAGGGTCCGCCGCATACATACACTACACAGAAACCATTTGAGCTTTATATATATTAGATTAGCAAGTGCAAGAAATAAAAAGTGTTCTCGCGTGAACTTTCTCGTCTAAGATATAAAGCTCCAATGGGTTCAGTTTCTCTGAATGTGTGTAAGTGGCGGGTGGAACCATTCTGTACTATTAAAATGTAAATTTTTATACTAATATCTAAACTGATGTAAAAAAAAATAACTACTCATAATTGATTATTTTCAAACAAACTTTTCATTTTATACGGTATAATTTTAATTGGTTTCATGTGCAAAGAATTTTTTTTTAAATATAAATGTATCACTCTAGGGCAGGGGTCTCCAAACTTTTCAGTCCGAGGGCCGCATTAACTATCAAATTTCAGTTCGGGGGCCAGTTTCTTCCAGGCATGTCTTTGATTTTTATGGGCAAAGTTCCTCAGCTATCACCAATAAAAGATTTTTCCTTGGACAAAAAGATCTTCGCGGGCCGGAAAAGAGGACTTCGAGGGCCGCATCCGGCCCGCGGGCCGTAGTTTGGAGACCCCTGCTCTAGGGTTAGGGTTATTATTTTGTCTGAAAATATTATACAAATTACATCCCTTTGTACCACTTACTTCCGTAGATAGATAACTTATATAAAAAACATTACTTCAGAAATGGGAAATCACTCTTTTTTTATGTTGGAACAAAATTATATAATTGGCGTGGATTGATAAAGAGCAATGTGGTAGGTCAGGGGTCGGCAACCTGCGGCTCGCAAGCCGCGTGCGGCTCTTTGAATATCAGGATGCGGGTCGCCAGTTCAGCATGATAATTATATTACTTTATTTTCATAACTCATAAAAATATTATACTGTAAAAACAACTTTCAGCAAGATAAAAACACTAAGAATAGGTGTAGTAGAAAGTTTGCTGGCAGCTGCTTGGATACAAGGCCCAACTACATAACTTTGCCAGCCCCGTGGTAGTGGTTCCACGCTTTTCACTACCGAAGTGCACTTTAAAAAAAAACATATTTTCAATAGTAAAGGTTATTTTATACAGAAGACATCTTTGTATGTATCAGTGTGCATTAATTTGACTTGAGTGACATAGTTTTGGAGTTATTAGCTTCTAAATTGGGAGGGGTAATGCTATAGTTATGTAATTTAAGTTTATTTCACATTTTTCACATTGGCCGTTTAAAAAACACATCAAACAACATAATAACATCATTGTAATAAAAAGCAATGTAGTAGTAAACATATAGAAGTAACATAGCATTCAAAGATTTGGAATACAGAAATAGTTTTATTTTATTATTAAGTTTGTTCCACAAATTAGAACCAGAGTAAGCGAAGCTATGTTTTTGGAAAAGAGTTGTAGGTAAGCTAAACGACGATTTATTTTTGTGTTAAATTAAAAGAAAATAAGCCCGTTTTGTGAAATATTTTATGTAAATAAACCGGGAGTGATCTATGGGATATAGTTATGATTTTTAATCCATTTTTAAATACTTAAACTTTTTAAAAATATAATAGAATCTCATAGAAAAAAAAATTGCGCACCATACGAACGCCGAATAAAGATGTGTATAATAGTGCGGCATATTATTAGTACTTTATAAATTCACATGCGTTTTTTTGATAAATCGGAAATAGCGTAAATTACTACTTCCAGTCAACGAAAATTACTCAAAACTTGACAGAAGGTAGAGAATTAGATCTTTTACTTACATTTATCTATCTGAAATAGTACTCAAATTATAGGCTTTTGAAAAAATCAAAGTAGAAAAAGTTCCAATTCCAGTTATCGGAAATAACTCAAAAGTTGATACGGATCTACGATTTTGATAAAATACTTATATATGAAATTTCATCAACCTAGCTGTAACGGTACTCAAGTTATCGTGTTTACACAGACACACATACACACACACAGCCATTCGGACAGAAGCAAAGTCCAGTTTTTCCGACTCGATAACGCATAAAAAAACAAAATGTTTATATATTTTTATTTATAATTTTTGCCTGATTAAAATAAGTCCTCTATACTCCGGATGTGATGAAGGACTGAGGTGTAAAACGGTGAAAACTGTCAAAATTTCATGTTATTTTTGTGCACGATTACAAGACTTTCTCTATACTTCGTATACACGAGAAAGTAAAAATTGCTTTTGTATATATTATTCTTTTATTTAATGGAAGTATATTAGTTGTAATAAATAAAAGAATCCAGACTACAAAAAAGCCAGTAACTAGTTTTATGTTTTTTTTGTAATGACAGTAGAAGACGCTGTTTTGTTTTAAAGCCGCCGCTTCACACTACAAAAGTATAATTCAACCCAGATTGAATAAAAGCTTCATAAAAAATTAACCTGCTTCTATAATCAACACATTGTTTTATCCTTTCTAGCTGAAAAGTAGTGTTTAATGTGAGATCATTGTTTTTTGCGTTTTTGTCACAACAATGAACACTTTTCCGGTTACATAATTAAAAATGTGTTTCTGCATTCTACTTTTCTTCTTCTGCGTTCTTAATTTAGCTTATAGTGGAGGATTTTAACAAGTCCAACTTCGTGTATGAACTGCACTGTGGTCTTTAGATTCACGGGTGCGCCATTTAGTTTTTCCTTGAGTGGGGTGTATAGGGGCCAGTGTTTGGATCGCACCTGGCTATATAAGGAACAGTCCTGAAGTACGTACTCTGTATTCAACCAAACTCCGTATCATTAAATTCTCCATATATCGCTGAAGATACTGATCTCTTAGCCTGCAGACAAGAAGAGAGAAGTGCGTACATGTGCTTTTACATATTAGGATGCACTAAAAAGTATATATTTAAAGAAAATCGTTTATTTTCTACTTTTTAGTGCATTACTACAAAAATTCATAAACAATGTTTTAATAACAAGCTTTTATGTAATAATGCACTAAAAAGATAGAAAATAAATGATACACTACTAATTAATTAACTATAAAGAAAAGCGTGGGTCACTTTACTAATACTTAGGAAGAGACCCACGCTTTTCTTTATATTTATTTAAATAGTAGTGTTGAATTTATGTTCTACTTTTTAGTGCATTGTTACATAAAAGCTTGTTATTAAAACATTTTTTATGAATTTTTTTTTCAGTACTTTATTTTTTTTTTAAAATTTACAATAGAGTTGCATGACTAAAAACCATTGCGCGCCTAATGAACGTGATGACGCGTGTCTAATAGTGCGGAATAGTTTGATGAGACAGCCTACTAGTTTGGAAAAATTTAAAATAATTCATGAAAATTATTTAGGCAACTAATTAAGTCAAAATTAATGTCATGTTCCATTGTCTTCATGTTTTGACCCACGTGCCAACGTTGAAACAAATCTGTCAGTTAGAAGTGTTCGAAATTTCGCTCGGGCATTTCGATCTCGACTTACGACTGACGACAGAGACAGTAAGTTAAATAAAAGCTTGTAAAAACAGCTTGTTATTTAAACGTTTTTATGCATTTTTTTCTGTACTTTAAAATTTTAATACACTGCTATTTAAATTACTATAAAGAAAAGCGTGAGTCTCTTTCTAAATATTAGTAAAAGTATCCAATAGATAATATTATAGTGACTCACGCTTTTCTTTATAGTGCGTGAATCGGACAAGTTGCTGTCCCATTCAACAAATAATTTATTTCATTTTATTTCAGAATATGAGGCACAATATGGAGAGCGTTGTACGAGTATTTGAATCAGATTCTTCTAGTTGACCTTTAAACCGCATTTGGAGGGTGAAGCCAAGATGTCAGTGCACTACGATTCTACTGGTGTGCATATGTTGCAAAACAAAGCCAGCCACTACGGCTCTAACACCCATTCGTCAGGTGCTGATTATTTCAATTTGGAAACTCCAATTACAGGAAACAGCGTGGAAAACAGTGAAAAATATCCACTAACATCAGGGACACCATCATTGTACATGCGCTTTAAAGCGCGTTTATTAAAAGCTAGCAACTACGAGTCTTTTCCTGTTAACGTTGGGGAATTCGGGCGAACTCTGGGAACATTTGCAGGCGTGTTTGCTCCAGTAGCTCTCGGACAATTTGCGTCACAATTGTTTCTTAGAACTGGTAAGTCAGTCCAATTTCTTAATATTGGGGAAGAACTGGTAAGTCATGATTAGAAGGATCAGAAACAAACGATATCCTTTAATCAATCGACACTAACCATCGTTGAGGTCGTTGGGGAACCACAGTTGATTTTCTCATCATTTTTGACCATCTGACTCGGTCCTCAGCTTGCTCTAAGTAGTTCTGCGGTAGGCAGCCCAGTCTAATCTTTGATGTCTTCCATCCTATGACGTCTTTGCATTCCCATTCTCCTTTCTCCAGGTAAAGTGCCCTGTAGTTTATTTTTGATAGACCGTTGGTTCGTGTGACATGTCCATACCATCTAAATATTCTTGATTAATGATCCTGTGATCTTTTTATGAGATCCACAAGAGGTTGCTTAGGCATCTAATTACTAGGATCTGGATCCGCGTTTAGGGTCATTGCCTCGCATTCATACAGGAAGACAAAATGAGTTTCATTTTTGTGCTGTCTTTTTTTTTACTCCAGATGCTTCAGAGTGCTGTTGTTGTTTGGACACTTCTTGCATAGCTCCAAAATATTTCCTCCAATCTTTGGTCGTTTACCCGTATGTCTGCCTCTATCCCGTTCGGGTTCTTGGCCATGATCATTGTCTTGTCGGGATTAATTTCCAATAGGCTGTCGCTTGACCTACTTTTTTTTTATCGTCGTCATGGTAATGATGGCTGCCGAAAACGACGATACCGTGATTCTGGTTTTTTTTTTTTGCACTGTTTCATGGTCATTTCAGAAATAAATACTTAAAATCGTTATTTTTGCTTATTATTCAACAATACCGGTCTAGTTTTAAAAATGGACGATTAGTGTTTGATGCAAACTTGCCATTTATACATTTTTTTTTACTAATCGCTCAGAATATCGAGCAGAACATATTAATTAGGCTTTTTGATGAGAATTACAGAATGATTTTTTTATTAAAAATGTATCAATAATAGCTTGCACACTAGTAAACTAAGCCAATTTAGCATATTTTAACTTTCTGTGCAAAGTCATTATTACTGAAAAAAATTCCAAAGTCAGGTCAGCCTGTGGCACCCTCCACTGAACATGACAGAAGGAAAAAAAAACTTGACCCGTGACCTTCATTAAAACAGAATTTGCTTTTGTTTTTTTTTTCATTGTTAGTAAATATGTGCTTAATCTTACCCAATAAGTGATAAAAATTTGAAAATTAATTTTAATTACTGTTGTAAAGTGAGATAAACAGCTTAATAAACACGTGTTTTCTTGAGGGGGTGTGGCACATCCCGACATCGCATTGTTTGTAACTTTATATTTGTGTTTTATGACTATATTTGTTCACAATAAGCATGCTATGCTTTTAATTTTGATAAAGGGTAAGTATACCAAGTTACAAAACCTGAAATCTATTCATACTTTCAGTTTAAAAAAATAATGAAAACGATCATCAATGAAGAAAGCGTAAACATTCTATTTTTAGGTGTGACATAAAAAAACAGTCATAAATCTAGCCGAATGATTGGATTCTTGCGCGTCACACATTTTCCCGCGCTTCGTGTTCACCAAAAAAGATTATAATAAAATGGCATTATTATTCTTACAGAGCATATCTCATGCCTACCATAAATTATTACCAGTTTATTGTAACGTGTGTAAAATTAATGCTTTCAAGTAAAAAATAGCAATAGTCTGGTTAAAAATACCTGCGGTATTTTATAGTTATTTGATTCGAAAGATAAGAATTATATAGAGCTACTTTCACTAAGGCGCCGCTTGCGAGACAAACATAGAAATTAGGCCAAAAGTAGATCCGACAATTCTTAAATAACAGACTTAAATAGAAACGGATAGTTCCGATTTCTTAAATTAACGATGGCTTCGTAATCATTAGTTTTATCGCTCTACCCATTAGTGAAAGCGAAACTGGTCGCCATTTTTGGTAAGCGCATGAGCCGTGAGATGGCTTCAAAACAACAAACCCGGAAGCTGTGAATTCGAACGGCCTATATTAATTAATAATAGTAAGCAAAATCGTGAATTGCTTTAATATTGTTCTAACCATCCTGAAAATATATTCTAAACTATAGAAAATTATAACTTGCTTTTTACTAAAACTTATGTCATTAATGTTTTAAAAATCATGCAGAGTAAAAACATAAGTCCACCCATTTTGTCCGCCGTGTATTTGAGTGGGGAGAAATCAAGCATGCGACACATTTCCGTCGAACGGCACTGAACGATCAATCGCGTCACAACAACACTCCTTAAAAAACGAACCCACAGTATCACTGAAAATCGGTCATATCATCGTAGCTATTTAATTAAACCGGGAGTGATCTCCCCCAAACTTTCTCGAATATTATTAAATGAAACAACAGGGATGGCAACTCGGGATATAGACATGATTTTAATCCATTTTAAATACTTAAACTTTAAAATAGAATAACATGTCGTAGAAAAAAGAATTGCATACCAAGTGAACGCCAAATAAAATGTGCATTATAGGCCCTTTTCCCTATTTAAAGTTTTTTTAAAAAAATTCGTTGGAATTTTAATATTTGTTTTATGTAGATAATTTTTAAAAAAAGAAAATGGAAATACAAATTCTTTTCCAACCTAGAAATAATTAAAAGTTCCAAAAAGACCCCCAGTCATTTCTTACTGCGGCATTCAGTATTTGGAGGAGGAGGAGGGGTCGAATAGGGCCCATCCGTAATAATAACACCACGGCGTTGTAACAATGTCAGGCTAGCCATTGAGAAAATTAGCCTATAAATGAACTTCGACTATTTTGTGAGATTGTACATGTATCGCTATAAACCTAAACTAACTGGGAAATTACCTACACCTCTCTCTTAACTGTCTGCCCTCCCTGAAATTCCATCTTATTAAGCATCCATAATAACAACTGAACCATTTAAAAAAAAAACTACAACCACTGACAGTGCTTTCAAAACAGGCTAAGTCTAACATTTGTCAACTTTTTTCTACTATTTTTTACTTTAATGACAATTTGTTTGCTAATCTAATTTATCTTTAATTAATATTACTAAGTTTTTGGTTTTCAACCAATTGCCAAGAAACTTTGGAAAGTTGTTGGGAATACTGCATTGCAGTGTTTTTTCCCCAGACATTTGTTTGGGAAGGTTTTTTGCATTAAATTTTTACTTTATTTCAAATGGCGGAGCCCCAGCAGTAAGACCGTACGGTTTGCCACCCAGAGTTTCCCAGCGGCTATCTTTGCACCTGTGGTACGTTGATTGGGTGTCTAGCGCAGCTGGTAAACGTTACTATTTAATTTGCGGGCAAATAGCACAGGCGCATCAGCCGGCGCCCCGGCGGTAGTGTAACCCGTTTCGCCCTGGGTCCCCTATGAACACTACGGCGCCTATATTCGTTTTAATGAGCGTCATCCACTAGGAATACGGAGGGCTACCAAATACCATTACTAAATCGAATAAGGGGCGCCATCCAGCGCATCAGCAGTAGTAAAGGTCAGGAGCTCTGAGATAGCCAGCAGCTACCTGAGTGCAAGAGATCCATTGATTGCGCGTCCTACAGGCTACTACTTATTCAATGATCAAGCTGCAACAGGGGCGCCTTCGACGCACCCGATGTATGGATGACACCAAGTACAAGAGCAACCTGCACAAAGGACACGGCGGTAACCAGTAATCCCTGCGACGTCTGTAGGCGGTATTTAACATCTCTATTAACGTGCACTCAATGCTTTCATACAGTACGCCAAAGGGCGTCTGAGCGGCAGTGTGGATAAACCTGCGCTCCAGCAAGAAAGATCCGAAAAAAATAATAGCAGTGGCGTTTTTACATTTCAACTCTCTCATTTTTAGCAAACAAGGTCACACGACTAAAAATACACCAATAAGTAACGCGTTGATGAAACCCTTAAAAATTGTTTCGGTATCCTGGTATGTGGGACTAGATAACTAGATAGCAGCAACGCGGACGGGTACGCTAGTTACGTACAGAGTTTCTTCCAGAAAGTCTACCGCCCCCCCCCCCCGAACTAAATTGAATTTATATAGAAGATATATACTGTTACTAGTGTCCGCCCCTCCCCCCCCCCCCCCCGAAAATATCAAGTGAACCCCCCCCCCCGGAGAAAAACGTCTGGAAGAAACACTGGTTACGTAAAAATATTATTTAGCATTCAACTGTAATCAGGAAGGAAATTTTTAATTTTTATATCTATGATAGAATTTTTTTTTAAATATCATTATTTGCTCATTGTGATGCTGTTAATTTGTTATAAAATGAATTGTAGACATGCCCATTAGGTCAGTAACTGGCCATCCTAAGTATAGTACATACAGGAGCAGCTAAAATAGATCTCAAGGAACTTATTAATAATCTATTTGCAAAGTTAAATGCATGAAAAATAGACATCTAATTAAATCTCGAGAATTTAAAAAAAAAATAATGTTTGGTCAGTGGCGTCACAAGGTTGGGTGTTACCCAATGCGTTTACTAAAGATATCACCCCATCGTCCCCAACAGCTGTGCACTTTCGGTGGGTTGTCACCTCTCTCTCTCACTAATCTTTTATTATTATAGCTAGATACAACATAGTTTTTACAGTAAATTTTACAATGTTTTGTCATGGTGTCATCTGATGTGGACCGCACCTCTACCCCCACTTTGTGACGCTACTGTGTTTAGTTACTTTAAAAAGTAACTGTAAGCATGTAACATTTTACAAAACTACAGGATTGTAGTCCTACATAATAATAAAGTATCAATACACAATCAGTACGTGTAAAATACACAATGTACAGAATATTTATATTTTTAAAAACCCTCCATCATAAGTAACATTTGAATCCTTCGTTTAACTTCATTGTAGTCTAACGGCTGACAAAGGGGCCCACTGATAATTTTTGCATAGGGGCCCGAAAATTCTAGCTACGCCACTGATATACGGCCGGCAGGTGAAGTATATATTAGACAAATAATTTCCTTTAACCTCGATAAAAAGATACAGTTAATAAACCCTGTCA